AAAAAAAAAAAAAAAAAAGAAGTATGAAATAATAAACTATGATTCAATTCCCCACTCAAAGGTTCAGGATCACTTTATGCAAGGTAGGGGCTAAGTAACCCTATAAAGAGAAGTCAAAAGGATCTCAAACGGACTGCTGTGCTGAAAATAGAACTGTCAACATAGATGGCCTCGCATTGCTGAATACGCACCTGGAGAATGACTTAACTCTTCTGTTAGCATTGGAAACATGCACACCTGAATAATGACATGTTGAAATGTGTTGTGTAACTACTTCTAAGCAGGATCACTTCCTGTTATTGCAAACTGGCTGTGTGCACTGTATTTACAAAGTACCAAAGTGCTCAGACTGTAAGGGGGAAAAGAAAGGACAAGGAAATGCCCTATCAAACAACAAGGTAATGCAACTGACATTATCAGTCTCATATCTTTGGGGACAGGGACCCTAATATTTTGAGGATTTTACTCTTTCTCTTTGAAGCATTTATCAAAATTAACTAAGAAAAACAAGCTCTATAGCTCTGTGTCACCCATTGGATAACAAGCCAGAGGCTGGAGACCAAAGTGCAGAACTAGCTCTGTGCTGACACCCAGGCAAATGGGAGAGGGCAGGCAGCTGGGCAGCTGGGCAGTAGACAGGAGCCAGGAAGGAAACATTAACTCAGGGCTGCACAGGGGAGACTACCTGGACTCAGAACCATTCAAGGACAAAACGGATATGTTTTGTAAATATTTGGCAGTTTCATGCTGCTAAATATAAAGTTGAATCAATACCTTGAGTTTGTTTAAATCTGTCAAAGTAAAAATATCCAAAAGAAACCACAGCTAGAAATAGTGGATGGCAGTAGATGATCTAATACAAGGTGGGGGATAGGGATGTTTGGGAGCAGGGAGAGGGGAGGGGGAAGGGGGTCAGAGTGTATGGCACACCTCTTGGGGGCAGGACACAATTATAAGAGGGACTTTACCTAACAAATGCAATCAGTGTATCCTAATTCTTTGTACCGTCAGTGAATCCCAAACAATAAAAAAAAAAAAAAAAGAAAGAAGAAATAATGGATGACAAATTTTTTACAGAGTACAAACTAGATAGAATGAACGTATCAACTAGTTTATTTTCCAAAGTGACCAAATCTTTTAAATATTACAGCTGACTTGGCACTGTATCCATAGGCATGCGTATTTGTATGCTCCCCCCACATCCAACTTCAAAATTACACCATACCTACTATAGCTGATGGTAATGACAAAATACAATGCAGAATTGTAAGCTCAGTTAAGTATAACATTCCCAAGGCAACTATAACTGACAATCTTGTGTCCAAAGAGCCCCTGCAGTTACCAGGAAACTGTACACCACTCTTGAGAATACTATTCAGATTGAATAGTAACACCTGGCTGTATGCAAGGCAGTGAATTTGCCTGCCTGGTTTCTGCTGTATGGTAGTTAAGAATCATTTGTTCTTTTGCTGTCCTAACCTCTGCATAACACAGTCTATAATTTTTTTAAGAGGTACATATGCTTTGAAGGAAGAAACCAATTCAACATTGAAGAGGAAACAGAATAAGGCAGAATAGTCTGCCACTCACAAGTGGAATTCTTTTTCTAGTCTCCACCTACACAGGGTTAAGACCCATCTTGAGGCACACTACAATTGATGGCACAGGCATTGTTTGTCTCTTAATGGAAAGCACTAGCGTCAATTTTTTTTTTTTTTTAAGAGACAGTCACTCTCAGTAGAATGCCTAGGCATCACAGCTCACAGCAACCTCTAGCTCTTGGGCTTAAGTGATTCTGTTGCCTCAGCCTCCCAAGTAGTTGGAACTACAGGCACCTGCCACAATGCCGGGCTATTTTTTTTTGTTGCAGTTTGGCTGGGGTGGGTTTGAACCTACCACCCTGGGTATATGAGTCTGGCGCCCTACTCACTGAGCCACAGGCGCCGCCCCCACCAGATTCAATTTTTATACTAACTATAAAATTGTGATACATTTTGCCCATTGGGGGACTTGTGACATTGAAAGAAGGAACCATAATAAATCAATGAGGAAAACAGGCATAAATCACAACCACCCTTGACAAAACCAGATGTATGCTTACCCGTCACATACTTCAGATCAAGTGCACAGAAGAGCTAGACTTTCTCTGATGTTGATGTCATAAAATTATTTAACACATTTCAAGTTAATCCCCAGAAAGCAGCATCAAAGTAGGTCAACATGGGGTCCCAGTTATTGGAAGGACACTTCTTACTTTGTTGCCCTCAGTAGAGTGCTGTGCCATCATAGCTCACAGCAACCTCAAACTCTTAGGCTCAAGCGATCTTCTTGCCTCAGCCTCCCAAGTAGCTGAGACTACAGTGCCTGCCATGATGCCCAGAGAGATGGGATTTCTCAGCATGAAGAAATTTAGAGATGGGGTCTCACTCTTGTCTCAGGCTGGTCTAAGAACTCCTGAGCTCAGGTAATCCACCCACCTTAGCCTCCCAAAATGCTAGGATTACAGGTGTGAGCCACTGGCGCCCACTGGGGAGGACACTTCTTAAACTACTTTGTTCTAGACAAGGCTCACAATGGCCTGAGAGCACTAAGAAGCATTAAAAGTTGATAAATAGCAATCATGGCAGTGGTGCTGAGACACACTCAAGAAAAAGCACCAAAGCACTGAAATAAACATCCTGACTTTGTCTTGGAATTTGGTTAAGTTTACTTCACGGATCTGTAAAATATCAGAAAGCTGGTCTAAACCACTATACAATGTCCTATCCGAGGATAAAATTTGTTCCCCAAGAATATACAGATAAGTAGGCCTAAAACAAGCAAAGGCTTTCTGACACAGAGGCTCTAAATTCAAACTACCTCTGATATGGCAATGGCCCAGTCTCTTTCCCTATAGGAGCATACATAGATGTGTACACAGGGCTAGGACCTGATAGGTGATTATTTACAATATTCATCCAGTATCATTTCTAGGTAGTAAATAAGCCTGTTAGTCTCAAAATACAGCTCATATCTAACAAATCAAATGTTACCTTCTTTTTGGCTTTAAGGAACACCCTGATATTTTTGTTAGTAATTAACAGGTGCCCACTTTCAATGCTTTGATCAAAATTCCTTAGATTTTCCTTCATTTTCTGCATGACGTATTTGCTGGGCTTGGGCCTCTTCCTTTCCTCTCAACTTTTGACAACTTTCAGAGGTTGGTGAAGAAACTATTAACACTAGAGCTCCTAATTCTTTTTCGGTGACTCTCAGATATTTCATAAAACCAAGGAGTAGAGGTAGCCACTACTTGGGGATACAGATCCAAAACATCAAAGAAGGGCAAAGATGAGTTTTAAGATTTTTTTTTTTTTTTTTTGAGACAGAGCCTTAAGCTGTCCCCCTGGGTAGAGTGCCGTGACATCACAGCTCACAGTAACCTACAACTCCTGGGCTCAAGTGAGTCTCCTGCCTCCGCCTCCCAAGTAGCTGGGACCACAGGCACCCACCACAACGCCTGGCTATTTTTTTTGGTTGCAGCCATCATTGTTTGGTGGGTCCGGGCTGGATTCGAACCCGCCTCCTTAGGTGTATGTGGCTGGCGCCTTAGCCACTTGAGCCATAGGTGCCGAGCTGAGTTTTAAGATTCTTCATGAAAGCAGTTGCTCATCTGTTTTTCATTCTCACATGTGACTTGCACACCCACAGCCCACCCACATATTGGTTCCTGACAACTAAACCAAAGGCTTTTATGAAGTCAGAAGACACCAAGCCTGTTCTGACCCCAGGCACCTTGCTTAGGTGCCATTTGTTTCTTTGGAAGATAGAAGGTGGCTTCAAACTGATCAAGCCATAGTGGAGAGAAGGTGTAGGTGGGGCTAACAGCAAAACCTGGAGGAGAGAGCAATGACTCTCAAACTTCAGTGTGCAAGAGAATAAAAGAAGCTTGTTAAAAATCAAGACACCTACGCTGCCATTCTGAGTCAGCTAACTCTGAGACATAGCCCAGACATCTGAATTTGTAATTAGCACACCCACACCCCACCCCCTATACTCCAAAGTAGGTAGTCTTCCACTTTCAGCCTTGAGAAATGCAAAGAGCAATGACAATGCACTTAACTGCAGAGAAGATAACCACATTGCCGCTCCCCCCCACCTCCCCCCTCCACCCGCCCCCAGGACATTCACCCTTGGACAGTCACTCTGGGTCAGCGAAGAGCTGCATAGACATGTACAGGGCTGACCCGTGTGCACAATCATTGCTAACCTCCCCCACTCACAGTTCTTCAAAGAATCCACGCATCATCTCTTCTAATATGTGCTCAATAAAGGCAACATTTCTGAATAAATTTTTAAGATAAGCAATTTCTTTATTTCCTTGGCCTGATGGCATTAACATTATTATACAAGAATCTGTAGCTGACAGGCTTCTCCCAACAGGAAGGCCTCTGTTCATTACTAGAGATGAATTGAAATGTCCCCTCTGAGTGCAAGTCCTGCTCCCCACCCCCACCCAACCCCTAAAGTGAAAATCAATAAAATCCCCATGAATTACTAAAAGTCATCCCTCCAAACTTTTCTAACTAGCAGCTGCAGTGGATTAAAACCGAAGGAGGGAAGCAGCTGGCCATCGAGAATTATCCTGTGCGTGTGAGACTGCAGGGACAGCAGCACGGGAGCGAGAATTCTGGCTGAGTGGGAGGTGTCATCTACCTTACCTCATCCTGCCTAGTCCCTACCTAACATATCTCTGTCCCTATACATGAAAATGCTAAAGGAAATGCTTGAGTTTTAGTCTGCAATTAGAAAAGCCTGAGGCTCATTAAATTCCAAAGTGGGTGTGGGATAAGGGGCACCAGAGAGAGAGCAAGTTAGACTGAGATGCTCAACACTCCATCATTCCAGTTTAATGCTACAGAAACTATCTCTGTAATCCTAACCACCTGAAAAGGTAAGAGAACCCCATCTAAACTTCTGGGTTGATGTCTACTGCCATCCTTGGTGGTGGCACTGTGACATTTGTCAGGTTATGACTGAGATAGGAAGGGAGGAGGTGAGAGACAGGGGGCCACACTTCAATTACAGTGGGTCTTTTTTGGTCCCCAGGCATGGTCCATTAGCACATATCCTAAAACACTCCTGTCTCCTTTCCATATTGGCTTTTGCAAATGTCAAAATCAGACTCTCTGCCTAAAGAGCAGGGAGTTGCTACCGAACTGCAATCATCTCTGGCCCCAACCCGCCCACCTCCTGATCCCTCTATGAAATTGCACAAAAATTCATTCTCAGGAATGCTATGAAATTGTGTCAACCCAATTCCTATCCAAGCCAATCCAACAGCTCTGTCCTGACATGCTTTCTCCCTGGACTGAGGAAGCAGCAAAAAATATCAATTGAGCATGTGAAAATGTGATGACAGCGTGTGCGGTGTAATGTTTCTTGATGTCTTCACCTTCTGTCTCCTCCATGGTGGGAGCCTCCCTCTCTATCCCCAAGTCCCACACACACCCCTCCCCTAACCCCAAGTCCAGGTGCTCCCATCTGCTGGGCTTCCACCACTCACTTCCCATAGACACTCTCATCACTGTAGGCCACATACAGAAAATAGTCTTCCTCATGGTTGTCCTAGGGGAAGAGATAGGACAACAGTTTAGAAAACATATTCACATTCATCATCTCTAGAATTCTGAGCTGGACATGCCTTCTAAGGTAGTCTGTAAGGTGTGATCCACCCCCATTAAAAAGAGGAACAAAGAATACACAGAACCGGCTATAATTAAAAACAACCTTCATGGAGAACATAATGCCTGTTAAGTGTCAGGGATACAAAAAGGACTTAGTTTGTCACCTTATAAAGCTCAAGTTAGCAAACAGACTAGAGATCCCACAAGGCCTGTATACTGGATTATATGCTAATCGGGAATATACATTACAGAATGAAAGGCTAAAGGTTATTAAAATTCACATAATTCAATAGTGAGACCACACCTTGTGTGAAAGTTTAAAGAATAATACCATTATGATCTTAGGCTGTATTACAGCATGACAAAGTCCTTTACTATAGTTTTCTCATATTAGGGTCTGATACTTTAGCAATTAAACTAAATCATATGAATTATTCTCCCTGGACTTATCTGTTAAAGACAAATGAATCCATTTAAAAACTCTGCTCTAATTTTAAAGTTCATTTTATCTGATTCACTGTGGCCAGATAATGGACAGTGTCCTTCACAGTTTTTGTTCTAAGAAAGAAAGCTACCCTTGTTTAGATCTAAGAGGTTATCTAAACAGAGTTTATATAGGGCATTAACTGTGAAGAGAAACCTTCAGTCTGAGGCCATTAGCTTCCGAGTTAAAAGGGGCTGGCTTTTATTTGTTTTCTCGGTTTACTGCTAAATTGTTACCAAGGAGAATAACAAGAACTACAAATGGGTAAATGCTTTGGAATGTCTACTATTAGGAACCATTTCCTGCTGTTTCAATAAAACCACCCAGCACTAAAACACTATAGTCAGGTAAGACTGAGAAGAGATCTCTAAGGATTAGATCTAGTAGAGTGCTCAAGCTCTAAAGGACAAGTGGTATCTAATCCCCATGCCTTACAGTACCATGTGTAAGAGGATCCTGACAAATAACACCTTGTGCCCCACTTCTCAAGTGTGTGATGATTATACATGGAACAAAAGTGAGAGAATGCCAGGCTGCACTGGACAGCATCCAGCATTGTGTGGCCAGGACCATTACCTCATACAACTGGCCCATGGTAGCACTAGTGGGAGGGATAGTGTTGTTGACAAAGAAGAATAAGGCGTCCTCAGGTCTCAGGTGAATCCTCTTCCGGATTAAGAAGTAGAACTGGCCAACTGGATGAAGGAAGAAGGAAAAGAAAGTCAAGAAGAAAACAAGGGGTTAGAAACAGGGCACCTGCCAGAAAAAAAAAAAAAAATTGTAATTGTTCCTCTGAGGGTAAGTACCAGCTTTATATATCATCTGAGCAGAGCCAAATACTGTCCTAGTGCTTCCAAAATAAAAAGCGAAACTCAATGAGACCCACAAAGTCCCTGACATGTCACTGTAGAGTTTGTATCTCAGACCTAACATTAAGGTATCTACCCACAGCCTGAGGACTACTTTGAGGGAATACTATGTATATGCTGACCAAAACATTCCCAGCATTATCTAAACCTGACTTTGAAATACCCTTTCATCCCCACTCCCACCCTAAGTAAAATTAATGTTGGAAAGAGGTCTACTAGGCTCTGGGAATCTTAGCATGGTCACTCAGCCCTATGTTGAGCAGAGATGCTTTACCCTTTCCTGAGTAAATCTTCTGGAAGGCTGATATTTAAATCCATTAACTCTGGACCAAATGTATCTATAAAACCTTTCCAGCGTCTCCTGGATCCAGCGGGTATTCCACTAAGGATCAAAGTGAACTCTCTTCTACGTTTTATAAATGTAAACAGGATTTACAAAACTTATTTTAAAATTAAGTTAAGAAATTCTAAAATGTAATCCTCTCAAGAGACTAGGCTGGTTTTCCCTTTGGGACAATTTTTTTTTCTTATAGTAATGAAGCTGAAATTTAAAAGTAGCTTAAATAATGGGCATCTTATCTTTCCTTTCAATGTTTTGTGCTTAGCTGTGTCCTAAATCAAACAAGACATGATGACAAGAAATGCTTAAGGGAAATGGTGATGGAAGAAGAACTATCGTTTTTTTTTTTTTTTTTTTTTTGAGACAGAGCCTCAAGTCCCCCTGGGTAGAGTGCTACGGCTTCACAGCTTACAGCAACCTCCAACTCCTGGGCTCAAGCGAGTCTCCTGCCTCTGCCTCTCAAGCAGCTGGGACCACAGGTGCCCACCACAACGCTTGGCTATTTTTTGGTTGCAGCCATCATTGTTTGGCGGGCCCAGGCTGGATTAGAACCCGCCAGCTCAGATGTATGTGGCCAGCGCCTTACCGCTTGAGCCACAGGCACCAAGCCCATCATGTTATTTTTGAATCCACTTACTCTCTGCAGAATCCCACTCATTTGCTTTGCCTCTGTGCTTCTCTCTCTCACAATCTCATGCAAGTAATAAGGATGAACAGTGTTTTGTCACAGAGGAAGGGTCGGGGAGGGAAAGAGCATTACCAGTGAGGTCAGAGGGCACTAGGTACTTCCGCTTGTCCAGATCAGGCACCCTGGCTTTCGGAGCCTTCTCCACAATCACCTAGAAGGACAGGAGGCAAGTGGGGAGATGAAACTACAGAACCCAACCTAGTCTTTTTCTTTCTACATCCTATAGCCATCCTATTGGAAGTGAGCTTGTCGGGCGGCGCCTGTGGCTCAAAGGAGTAGGGTGCTGGCCCCATATACCAGAGGTTCTGGGTTCAAAACCAGCCCCGGCCAAAAAAAAAAAAAAAAAAGGAAGTGAGCTTGTCTAGGCCCAATATAAAACTTGTCCATTTCTTATGCCCCACCCGACCCCTGACGAAACATACGGGAAACAGGCTTCCTGTGGGAGGTTATGGTTTTCTTACTACAATGAAATGAAAATAGGGAGTGCACATGATGAAAAGTAAAAAGATTTTAAGTAATTATAAGTTACCTGTATATTACGAGATATATTTTCTGGTATTTAATTAGAACATCAAGAAAACTGTCTTCTCAGATGGCCCAGATCACCTATTACTAATTTTATTCTTTCTTCTTTCTTTTTTTTTAGTGACAGAGTCTCACTTTATTGCCCTTGGTAGAGTGCCGTGGCATCACACAGCTCACAGCAACCTCCAACTCCTGGGCTTAGGCCATTCTCTTGCCTCAGCCTCCCAAGTAGCTGGGACTACAGGCGCCCACTGCAAGGCCCAGCTATTTTTTTGTTGGAGTTTGGCCGGGGCTGGGTTTGAACCCACAACCCTTGGTATATGGGGCCAGCGCCCTACACACTGAGCCTCAGGCCCCGCCCGTTTTATTCTTTCTTATAATTACCATTTATTAAAGAGCAGATAATGTGGTTTAAATTTTAAACTTTGTCAAAATTTCCAAGAACTGCCAGAAAAATGTTTAAGACATTAAATGAAAAAAAAAATGTTAAAACAGCTCTTACAATGACATTCTGTAATATGGTATAAGTATAATAATTCATTTGCCAATACTGACCATGTTAGCAATTTAAGGGGGAGTTTTTTGCAGTTTTTGGCCGGGGCTGGGTTTGAACCTGCCACCTCCAGTATATGGGGCCCGCGCCCTACCCCTTTGAGCCACAGGCACGGCCCAAGGATTTTAAGGTTTTTAATGTCTATATTATACATCTCTGTAATACTTTGAATGCTATAAGGTTGATGTATTTCTGTAATGAAAAGAGAAAAAATGAAGATATGTATATATACAGATATTTATGCACTTAAACTTACAAAATTGAAAATATCTACTATAAAATTATGAGCTTCAGGGTTTTAGCATAGAAAATACAATCATTCTAGATACAAAACATATAAAGTATAGAAAAGTTAAAGGGAAGAAACAGAAACAAATAATGGACAAATATCTTTAATGGCTACCTTTTTTTATTTTGAGATAGAGCCTCAAACTGTCACCCTGGGTAGAGTGCTCTGGCATCACAGCTCACAGCAACCTCCAACTCCTGGGGTTAAGCAATTCTCTTGCCTCAGCCTCCCAAGTAGGTAGGACTATAGGCACCTGCCACAACACCCAGCTATTTTTTGGTTGTAGTTGTCATTGCTATTTGGCAGGCCTGGCTGGATTCAAACCCGCCAGCTCTGGTGTATGTGTCTGGCGCCTTAGCCGCTTGACCTACACGCACCAAGCCAGGCTATGTAATCTTATTTTTTTATTTTAGATACAGAGTCTCACTTTATTACCCTCAGTAGAGTGCCATGGCATCACACAACTCAAAGCAATCTCCAACTCCTGGGTTCAGACTACCTGCGCCCGCCATAATGTCCTATTATTTTTTGCTCCAGTTTTGCCAGGTCGGATTTGAACCCACCACCCTTGGTATATGGGGCCGGAGCCCTACCCACTGAGCCACAGGCACCGCCCAAGGCTATGTCATCTTTTTTTTGGGGGGGGGGGCGGGCCAAGGCTGGGTTTGAACCCACCACCTCTAGCATATGGGACCCTGCCCTACTCTTTTGAGCCACAGGCGCCACCCGGCTATGTAATCTTTAATCAGTCACTTAACCTCTCTATTTCACTGTTCTGATGAATAAAAGGAAACATTTCAACTTTATCTTTACAAAGTTATGGCACTAATATGATGGTAAACTCCAGGAATACGTCAATTTTATGTGAATGCTTCATAAGAAGCATTTTAACTGGAGGGCAGGGAGGCATTCAGAGAGGAACAGGAAGGAGAGGGGCACTAAAGTCTTGGTTTACCAGGAAACATTTCGAGTTTCTAGAAATCCCAACTCTACCCCTCATTTACAATGAACCCTTTTGAGGTTAGGTTTCCCCTTTTGAGTCTCAGTTTTCCTCATATGTAAAATGGGGCCAACATTCAACATGGCAATTAGCAAAGTTTAAAATCAAACCATCTGTTCCTAACAGTTTCTTGCTATGTGGGAGGTTTTCTTTTCTTTTCTTTTTTTTTTTTTTTGGATTACTACTATTTAATCCAAAGTTTATATTCAGCTTCTATCAGCTATCCTAATAATTTCCTTTTCCTTTCCAAGTTCATGATTCGCTCAAGAATCACATATTGGGCTGGGTACCCATAGCTCAGTGGTTAGGGGGCTGGCGGGCTGGAACCTGCCCTGGGTGTGCTAAACAAACAAAACAAAACAAAAAAATAGCCAGGCACTGTGGTGGGCACCTGTAGTCCCAGCTACTAAGGAGGCCAAGGCAAAAGAATCACTTGAGCCCAAAAGTATGAGGTTGCTGTTAGCTATGACCCCATAGCACTCTTCTGAGGGTGACAAAGTGAGACTCTGTCTTAATTTAAGAAAAAAAAAAAAAGAAGAAGAATCACATATTGCCATCAGTTTTCATGTCTCAGTTCCACAATCTTCCTTTTTGTTTTATTCATGAACTTGATGTTTTGGAAGCATACAGGCCATTATTTCATAAATGACTCTCATTTTAGATTTTTGCTCAATTTTCCTTATGATTATGTTACACATATTTAGTAAGTACATCACAGAAGTGGATCTGTGTCCTCAAGTAACTCCTATCAGAAAGCACATGGTGTCTTTTCATCCTGTCATTGGTGGTGGGGTGAACATTATTCACTTGGTTAAAGTGGTGTCAATCATCGGGAGGCACCTGTGGCTCAGTGAGTAGGGTGCCAGCACCATAAACCAAGGGTTGCGGGTTAGAATCCAGCCCCAGCCAAACTGCAACAAAAAATAGCCAGGCGTTGTGGCGAGGGCCTGTAGTCCCAGCTACTTGGGAGGCTGAGGCAAGAGAATCACTTAAGTCCAAGAGCTGGAGGTTGCTGTGAACTGTGATACCACAGCTCTCTACCTAGGGTGACAAAGTGAGACTCTGTCTCTTAAAAAAAAAAAAAAAACAAAAAAAAAAAAGCCCATCAGGTTTTTCACTGCTAAAATAGTATTTTCACCTTTGCAATTAATAAACGTATGCAAAGACACTTTGAAACCCTGAAAACATACTTTTTATCAAACTTTTCTCTGCTATTTTTCTTTTTTTTAAGAGACAGTGTTTCACTCTGTGCCCCTCGATAAGAGTATGGTGGCATTACTGTTCACGGCAACGTCCAGCTCCTGGGCCCAGGCAATTCTCCTGCCTCAGCCTCCCAAGTAGCTGGGACCACAGGTGCCCACCACAGGCGCCCACCACAAGGCATGGCTATTTTTTTGTTGCAGTTTGGCTGGGGCTGGTTTTGAACCCGCCCGCCTCCGTATATGGAGCCGGCGCCCTACTTACTGAGCCACAGGCGCTGACCTTCCCTGCTATTTCTAGCATCTTTGCGATAGAGCCTCAAGCTGTCACCCTAGGCAGAGTGCTGTGGCATCACAGCTCATAGAAACCTCAACTCCTGGGTTCAAGCGATTTTCTTGCCTCAGCCTCCCAAGTAGCTGGGACTACAGGCACTGCCACAATGCCCAGCTATTTTTTGGTTGTAGTTGTCATTGCTGTTTGACACGTCCCGGCAAGATTCATACCCGCCACGTCTGGTGTATGGGGCTGGCACCTTAGCCGCCTAAGCTATAGGTGCCAAGCCTCTAGTATCTTTTTTTGACTGATGCCTAAATCACTAAAATAATGATTTTCAAATTATATCATTCCTTTTACATTTACTAGCTGACATGCCTCCTCCATTTATCTGTTTTTTCAATTATTATTTACATCATTAAGGAATCATGGATTCTTATTTCATTCAGTGACTTATATTCAGTTATTATTATTAATTTTGCTGCTCAAATTGTCCCAGATTTGGCCCAAGCCTTTTAGCGCATTCTTATGGCCTTCCAATGTATCTTTGTCATTCATTATGTACCTCCTACCTTCTATCACAAAATGTTCCTGGTTCATCTTGTACATTCCTTGACACAGAGCTAGATTTCCTATTGCTCCAATAAGTCCAAAATCCTTTGCAAAATAATGCTATTTAAAAACCAAGATTTTAGGTTGGGTGCGGTGGCTCACGCCTTTAATCCTACCACTTTGGGAAGCCAAGGTGAGTGGATCCCTTGAGCACAGGAGTTTCAGACCAGCCTGAGGAATAGATACGCCATCTCTACTAAAAACAGAAAAATTAGCCAGGCATTGTGGTGGGAGCCTGTACCAATAGACCCAGCTACCCCAGAGGGTCCATTTGCAGCTTTTCAATATGCTTTATCTATTAAGATAAATTCAAGATCCTATGAATCCCCTTCCCAAGGAATAAGCATATCTTTCCTTTTGAACAGTAATAAGGAGATATTGGTAGAGCTAAGCTCAGGTGATGTCAGCAGTCCGGTATGTGACTGATAACACCACTGGTCAAGCTGGAAGGGGCTTTGCTTTAAAAAGCACTTACTTGTACCCTATCTTTTGTAAACAGGACACTTTGCCACAAGATTAATAGTTCTCCCAAGGGCACAGTGAATTCCTGCAAAAGCTCAGAACTAGAACCAAATTGTAGAACCTGCGTCACATCTCAAAGAGGGTCACAAGCTAAGCAGCTCAAGACCAGGTGGGAGGCTCATCACAGGTTAAAACTTAACTGGAGGTGCACTGAAATCTCAATGATCATCTTACACATCATCATAGACTAAAACATTACCACAGAACTATAAGAGGGAGAATTAACAGACATAAATATTCTACATGAATGCATATAAATTACTGAAACATGAAGAGCTCAGTTTGGAATGAAAATGTGGAAATTCTATCTAGATTTAAGAACATACAATTTGGAGGCTGTAACTTACATACATAAAGGTGCTGGAACACAGCTTTGTGCTTAGAGAGTTCTGAATAAAATACACAGGGTGCCAAAAAAAAAGAAAACACATTTTAAGAAAAGATAAAAAGTATTAAAATTGTAATCTTGAAAATATACAATATATAATGTATAATGTTTGTTATCTTGTATATTGTATCTTGCATCTCTTGTAATTGCAGAAGTCAAACCTGATTATTACAATTTTAATACAGTTTTTTCTTAAGATCAGGTTTACATTTTTAGCACCTTCCCTCCTAATCATTTTGTGTCTGATTTGCCTTTCTGCTACCACACTGCCCAGGGATGCGCTGAGAGCAGCAACAGTGTATCTATAGCCAATGCTTAAGAGCTAATTCTGGTTAACAGAAATTGAGAAATAGTATGGGACGGACACAGAGCTCCATGCCCAAAAGACAGAGTTGGAATCCCATCTCTGCCACAGACAGCAATGAAATCTTTAGGAAGCTGCTTCATATTCTCCATCTGCAGAAAGGGGATTATAATTGTTTGAGTATTAAGTCAATGAATGAAGAGCACAATACTGCAAGGGACATGGTAAACTATCAGTAAAAGTTAACCGTCATTTTTAAATATTGCTTGACAATGGGTTTAGTATGACTAGAATTAGGGGGAACTTTTTTTTTTTTTTTTTTTTTGAGACAGAGCCTCAAGCTGTCCCCCTGGGTAGAGTGCCATGGCATTACAGCTCACAGCAACCTCCAACTCCTGGGCTCAAGCGAGTCTCCTGCCTCCGCCTCCCAAGTAGCTGGGACCACAGGCGCCCGCCACAACGCCCGGCTATTTTTTGGTTGCAGCCATCATTGTTGTTTGGCGGGTCCGGGCTGGGGATTCGAACCCGCCACCTTAGGTGTACGTGGCTGGCGCCTTAGCCGGTTGAGCTATAGGCGCCGAGCCAGGGGGAACTTTTAAAGCAGGCATCGACGGTCCAAAATAAGGAAAATAAGTTGTTAAGGATACTTTATTAGGTAAAGGTTAGCTCCCTGCTCTTGGCTGAAAACCCTTTGTGTGTACTTCCTGGGGAATGGAAAAGCCCTAATATTTTCCTTTCCTTACAAGAAAAAAAAAAAGTGCACAGGGCTTCTACTGCCTGGCTAAGGCCCAGGTTGCCTTCTAGAAGCCATAAAACCATTCAAGTTAGGTAAGGATCGAAGAATCCCAAAGAGTGCTTGCACGTCAGGACTAAAAACATCAGATAATTGCAATTCGTTTACCTCTAAGTTGTCATACTTATCCTAATATCCCTGCTGGAAGATAAAGAGCGCAACCTTAGAAGCTCTGCTCCCCTAATCTCCAAAATCCAACAGCTGTTGTTCCCCCTACCACACTTCTGCCCTCCAACTTGGCTGCACAGCCTACATCTGAGAAAAGCAAGGCAAGTGGGCGGGGGAGGGGCAATGGGGAAAACCGCCCGGATGCTGAAAAATGCCTTAATATTTCTTCTTCGTTCTTCCTCACTGCCTGCACTACTAGTTTTAACTACTTAAGCTGGAGTCCAAATTGGAGAGAAAAAGGCCTCAGCCTCACAGAATCCAGGTATCATCTTATCACAGTCAATACCGAAGGAGGGCTGGCCGTCCCCACACATGCCCTGAAGCCAAGAATGATGAAGCAAGCTGGCCGCTGCGCAGAGAACGTGACCTTGTTTTTTTCTGGGCCAATGTCCTGTGACGCCCCCTCCCCTCTCCTAATTCTGAGAAAAAAACAAAAAGAATCTACTCACTTCTGAACCTTTCCTCCCAAGCCCAATATCGTGAAGAACTTCATTAAAAGGGAACTGATCTAAAGGAGAAATCGCTGGGGACAAACCCCAGTATTTCAGTTGCTTCCATAACAATTTCCCTGCACTCTTTTAAGGGTTGCAAATCCAGGCCCCATCCTAATCACTCTAGCACAAATGGGCCCGATTCGGTGAACATCTCGACCCACACACGTTCCGAATACTGCTGAGTCACCGAAGACGTAGGCTCCGCTCTAAAAATGCGCTCAACTCTAAAGATGGATACGGACCCTAGGGATGTGGGCTTAATAGGCCCGCAGTGTGAACGTCCATTGGCTCTAGTCGTGAAGGGCGTTCAGGGTTGAGTGATTTGGGGGACCTCTCTCCTCCAGAGCCCTTTGCAGCTACCGCGGCAGCCATCACGACCCCCACACGTCCGCCCCCCACTGTGCCCACCCCCTTCCCGCTCCCAGCGCACTCACAGGGACCCTGTCCGGATATTTCTTCCGGATCTTTTCTCCTTCTTTTTTCCGATATTCAAAGGGATGGTCCTCCTTATACTGGAACTTCATGGTGGACCGCAGGGTTTCCAAGATCCCCCGGACGGGGCCTGCCACCCTCGCTGATGACTGCGTCTCTCTGGTGTCCTGCTTCCCTCCGCCAATCCAATGTTATCAGACCCGCTTCCGAAGTTTCAGTTCCCGTCACAACACTGCCTGGCCGAGCGTTCAGAAGGGATCCGGGGCACCCTTGCCTTGAGATAAGCGATAACCAGGTAAAGAAATCCCAGCGGCTTTCCCAGAAGAGCTAGGAACACAAAAACACCTCGGCTGCACGAAGTCCTTGACGTCACAAAGCCCCGCCCACGCCAGCCTGCTGGACGCCGCGGATGGGGGTGCGCAGAAACAGTATCCACTTCTTTGTATTTTTTATTCACCATAATTTTTCTAAATCTGTTTATTTAAAAACATAAATATGTCTTGTGACTATTTTATTGTGATTATGGCATTAAATATGGCTTTTCGGCTAAAAGAAAATGTTCTAAAGATGTCTTTTCCCCTCTCCTTTGCTGTTTCTTGGTTGGGCCCCAAAACAAATACAAAGGGCAAAAATCCAGCTTTTTCCAGCTGGTGAGTATCTGGCTTTTGGAGGCGAAGATGACAGGGTATCACGAGATCTCTTTGGCTAGTGCAGAAATGTCCCCCTGCTTGCATTTTGCCCTTTGCCCAATCAATTGCACCCGCCTGGCGCCTGCAGTGCTCCGCCGGCTTCTCCCTACCGCGCCCCCTCCTTCCCCGCGTTGGCTTCATTTTGTTTGGCTCTGTGCCAGTTTGCTCCTAGAACAGCAACATAAGCGGAGCGTGACTCAGGAATTTTGAAATATGTGTAAGGTGAAGGGCATGAAGTGTAATCAAGGTACATAGACGAAGTCATGTCAGTGATGACTACTAAGGGCTTCGTGTACCTTCAAATATGGAAATGATTTATTTTATCCTGTTAACCCAAAAGTTGGGCCTGTCTTCTGGAAAAAAAGTATCAAGCAATTTAGGTTACTAACTCAGAAGTTCTCAAACATTCTCTTCTATAAAAAATCAGCTGAAGGATAGTTCTACTATAAATATACCTCACGTAATGGAATGCTGGCGGGAGACTGGGTATTGGGGCAGGTGCCAGTGAAGCCTCCATCTGGCAGTCCCCTATGCCCACAAAGAATCTAAAGGACACTGTAGCACAGTGGCTAGGGCGCCAGCCACATGTGCCGGAGCTGGCGGGTTCGAATCCAGCCTGGCGGCCAAACAACAATAACAACTACAACCAACAAATAGCCGGGCATTGTGGCGGGCACCTGTAGTACCAGCTACTTGGGAGGCTGAGGCAAGAGACTTACTTAAACCCAAGAGTTTGAGGTTGCTCTGAGCTGTGATGCCACAGAACTCTACCCAGGGTGACAGCTTGAGACTCTGTGTCAAAAAAAAAAAAAAAAAATCTAAGGGACAAAGTCCCTTTCAAGTGCGATTACTGTGGGCAGTGATTCCAGGGATCTTGTAGGGGAAGGTGGCAGAAATTGTAAAGATAAGAGCAAGGAAAGAGCATATAGATCAGTCGAGTTCTGGAAAGTAATAGACAATCTCAAGCCTGTCACACATCTTCTGGGTCTCAGTTATCTAATTTAAAAAACAAACCCAGGATCGCAGTTAGTACAGTGGTTAGGGCACCAGCCACATGCACTGAAGCTGGCGAGTTTGAACCTGGCCCAGGCCAACTAAACAACAATGACAACTGCAACAAAAAAATAATGGGGCATTGTGGCAGACACCTGTAGTCCCAGCTACTAGGGAAGCTGAGGCAAGAGAATCACTTAAGCCTAAGAGTTGGAGGTTGCTATGAGCTGTGATGCCACAGCACTCTACCCAGGATGACATAGTGAGACTCTGTCTCACTAAATAAATAAATAAATAAATATAAAAAACAAAATACAAGCCCACCAAAGAAAAACGTTTTCATTATTGACACAAGAAAATGAATTGCATACTCATACTTCATGATGTTAATTATTTTTCTCCATGACATCTTTCTATCTTTTTTATGTATGGAAATCCATGAATTATTTAGTTACATTGTACTTTTATAATTTTCAAACCTTATTTTCAAGTTGAAAATAGCATGAGTTCCATTTTAGCTTTGATTCACATATAGCTAAATCTATCAAAGGAATTCTTTATAAGCAGATGAGAATGGTAATTATGGTGGACATAAAAGTTTAAGAATGTTGTCTGATCAAATCTGCTAGAAACAATCATGGCGGCTAGGCGCCTGTGGCTCAAATGGCTAAGGTGCCAGCCATATACACCTAAAGTGACAGGTTCGAATCCAGCCCAGGCCTGCCAAACAATGACAATTACAACCAAAAAATAGCCGGATGTTGTAGCAGGCGCTTGTAGTCCAGTCCCAACTACTTGGGAGGCGGAGGCAGGAGACTCACTTAAGCCCAGGAGTTGGAGGTTGCTGTGAGCTATGATGTCAGGGCAGTCTACCCAGGGTGACAGCTTGAGGCTCTGTCTCAAAAAAAAACCTCAAATCTTTTCAAATATCTATTCCAAATTTTTCTTAAAATTTTCTATATTTTCAAGGGTTAGAATATTTTTCAATTTTCTTTTGAACATGTTCAAACATGCAAAAAAGTTTTTTTTTTCTTTTTTGAGACAAAGTCTCAAACTGTCACCCTGGATAGTGGGCTGTGGAGTCATAGCTCACAGCAACCTCCAACTCTTGGGCTCAAGCAATCCTCTTGCCTCAGTTTTTCTATTTTTAGTAGAGACAGAGTCTTGCTTTTTGCTTAGGCTGATTTGGAACCCATGAGCTCAAGCTATCCACCTTCCTCGGCCTCCCACAGTGCTTAGGATTCAAGGCATGAGCCACCGTGCCCAGCCAAAGAATTTTTTTTTTTGAGATACTCCCACTCTATTGCCCCAGGCTAGAGTGTTCTGGCATCATAGCTCACAGCAACCTCCAACTCCTAAACTCAAGGGATCCTCCTGCCTCAACCTCATGCAAAGAATTCTAAAGACTAGGGCGGTGCCTATAGCTCAAAGCAGAGGGTTCAAGCCAGGCCCTGGCCAAAACCGAAAAAAGAAAAAAAGAATTCTAAAGACTAGTATGATGAACACCATATACCTACCACCTACATTTTTTTCCATTTGAGAGTAAATTGTAAACATTATAACACAACACCCAAAAATACTCAGTATATTTTTCCTGAAAATAAGAACATGTTCCTTCGTAATCACGATACTGCTATTGTGCCTAAAAAATTAACAATATTTTGCAACATCATCTTTTTTTTTGAGACAGAGTCTCAATCTCCCAAGTAGCTGGGACTACAGGCACCCGCCACAATGCCTGGCTATTTTTTGGTTGCAGTCATCGTTGTTTGGCAGGCCCAGGCTGGATTCGAACCTGCCAGTTCAGGTGTATGTGGCTGGCTCATTAGCCACTTGAGCCACAGGCGCTGAGCCAATCTTTCTTCTTAATAATTTTGATGTGCTGACTTTGTTTCCTCCCAATTGCCACTAGCTTAGTTTGGTCTTCATTGTTTTTTACTTTGATTATGACTCTCGTTAACTATTGGTATATAGGAAAGCACCTTAAAACAATGACATCATCTATTTTTCTCACAAATCTGAAGTCATGGGGCTCAGTTAGGCAATTCTTTCTTGAGTAAGGTGACAAGATGTCCGCTTTTGGTGGGACAGTCCCAATTTTTAACAATTTGTCCTGAGTCCTGTGGCATTTTTAAAAAGTCACAATTTTTGGAAAGAATGCATGACAAGCTAGGGAACACGGGAGAATAGGAAGGGAATATACGGTTTTAGGCTGCCATGTGGTTATTTCACCAGGATATGAGTTTTATGTTGTTTTTGTTAATTTTATACTGTTAAACTATAATAATAACTAATAATTGTTGAGAAGTGATTACCGAGAACTGCTTATCCAAGTTTGCATTGTTGTCAGCCCCACCCCTCGCCCCCCATCAATGCAATGGTGTCCTGCTTTACCAATGTTAAAATCTGGTCACCTTATTCTTGAGGTCTTATTTGGTTTGGATCAGATTGTGACTGGTAATAGGATCTTCTCTGAAGCCTTCTTCACTAACACTTCTGTTAACTGGCCTGGGAAGATTCAAATGGGTGGACCTCCTTAGTAATTTCTTTCTTTCTCTATATTAGTGGTTCTCCACCTTCCTAATGCCATGGCCCTTTAATACAGTTCCTGTGGGTGGCAATCCACAGGTTGAGAACCACTGCATATGGTCTCACTGTAGGTGAGTGGCTGCAGGGAAGCGAGACTTCCTCCATGAAAGCTGGAGGTTCTCTGAACAAATTTCCCAAAAGAAATCAGCAGAAAGCATATAGCCTTTTGTACTCTAGTCATTTTTGCTTCAAAGGGACACTTCTGCCTCATTCTATTCCTCCAGGCATCACAGTCAGAGTCAAGGAGAAGGGACATAGATTCTGCCTGTAGATGGGGGACGTGTTAAAGAATCTCAGGACATGCTTTAAAATCACCACTGTTACTCAAATACCATTTTAATTGGTCTTCAATCTTGGCCTCATCATTTCTAGAAAAAAGAGAGAGATCACTGGTGCCAGAACAAATGTAGTAAAACCATATCTCATTGTGTCCTTTCTCTTCTTAATATCATTCAGTGGTCAGGATTATCTGAAGTCTCTAGGAGAAAGTTCAAATTCCTTAAAAGAGAAAGAAATTACTTACAATCTGGCTGCTACTGCTGTTTTTAGCCTTCTTTTTTTGAGACAGAGCCTCAAGCTATTGCCCTGGGTAGAGTGCCGTGGTGTCACAGTTCATAGCAACCTCCAACTCCTGGGCTTAAGCAATTTCTTGCCTCAGCCTCCCAAGTAGCTGGGACTACAGGCACTGGCCATAATGCTCAGCTACTTTTTGGTTGTAGTTGTCATTGTTGTTTGGCTGGCCCCAGCCAGATTCGAACCTGCCAGCTCTGGTGTATGTGGCTGGTGCCTTAGCCACTTGAGCCACAGGCGCCGAGCCACCACTGGGTATTCTCAAAGGCTCTTCCTGTGAAAACATTTTCTCCTCCTCCCACCCCCTACCAGCCAATTCCTGTAAATCATTCAGGGTTTAGTTCCAGTATCACCTTCTCCAGCAAACCTTTTGATTCCATTTGATTCCATTCTGTGTTTTGTATTACTTGTAGGTGCTTGCCAGGCATGTGCCAGGCATGTGTGCTTTTTGTGGTCATATAGTTTATAATGAGGTATTTTTTTTCATTATATAAGATCATGCC